GCCTCCCCCGCATCCCCCCCCCTCCCCCTCCATCGACAACGCATATCGTATTGCTTATGTTGATATCGATAGACCTATTTTGATTTAAAAGGTAGTAAGTGGCTCGGCATACTTGTGTTGAGCGTCGGATGTGAGTCGCTTTGTGCAACTATTGCCAGTTAATTATGTATACTATAGCTGTAGCAAGTAATGGCAGTTGAGTAAAGGCCCAACGTATGGCCGGCGACTGGAAGTTGCCCTCACCGACGTCCGGCCGACAGTTGCGCAACTGACACCCGAATACTCCCGCGCTAAGGTTAAAACAACAGCCACGAAGCAAGGTCATATCAAAATATATTTCCCTGTCGACGCACATTCACTAACACAAGGAAGTGTTGCGAGCGCTCGGCGTCAACATGTTTTCCACTAAAATGTTTAAATGGCACAACTGAGTTGTTTACATTAATGCGTGTAGTGCGCACTTGGTGTAACAAGTTGTGACTTCCGCGGAGTGAAGGCCTCGCCTGCAGCCTGCAGGAGCCTCTGACCCGCGCCGCGAGATGTCGCGTGTGTTGCGTCACGCGGCACGTAATGAGACGCGGTTACAGATAATATACTCCAACAACAACATTACGAAAAACACAGCGAGCTATCAGATTGTCGCAACACACTGACTAACACACGCAGATGCCGTAATAACTTAAACAGCTATGGAAATATTTCAGCGCAGCGCGACTTAACCTCGTTTGTTACCATTAAATGCACATAGCGTCGATATTAATTAGACTCGACCAGGCAGCTGCCGGAGCCACGTGGTCGGCTCGTGCTGCGGCTACTGGTCCTGTCAGTGCACCTGCGGGAGTGCGAGGAGTGGTTGTATGAGAAGCATGCTCGGAAGCTCGTCAACTGTTCCATTGTCCCAACTAAACTAAGCGCAATTGCGTGCACATGGTTACGCGTCGGTCGCCCAATTCTTCGGAGGCGATAGAACAATCGTCACTTTCGCAAACATTACGTGCGGGACGCGGAACTAGACAGTGAGCGCGCACAATGCCGGCATTACACACAATCTCTGTAATTACAGCCATTACTCCGGACTCCCGAGCTACACCCGCGCCACTCAACTCATATTGTATTTCATTGTAGAAATGAAGTGAACTTGTGCAGTACACCTGCGAGCTAACATTAATGTACTGTCGGCACACACGTATACAATAAACATACTAGTTAGTGATGTAACGAATGTCATACCTATCTTAGATATTCGCGATATTATATCTGTCGACAATATTTGCTAAAGCGAATGCGAATATTGCCTTAAAATTTTTTCCAAATTTGTCTAAAGCTTTATTTTGACAACTTGCTTGTAGCACACATTTGTAATTGTTTGCATCAACTTGTAGTCTGGTCTAAATAAACACACAAGTAGATGGCGCTTTTATTTTGTTCGTTTCTTTAATTGCGGTGTTAAGATTCTCCGCCAATGCTATAAGTGTATTAAGAATTTATTATATTGGTATCGATTTGTATCATTTTGTTAAGTATGGTATAATAATTGGGAATACAAGTGTTAGAGGCAACCACCATGATAATTGGGCCTCCGGTAACCTCTCTCAAAGTAGACAATCGAAATAAATAAAAACTAGGGAGTCGAGCCGAACTTTGATGGAGACCTACATAGATTTTACAATTAGGAATAAAGTGTCAAAGTCACCATGAACAAAGAACAAAGAACCCATGTGTGCGTCGAAAGTTATTTGGATCGAAGAAAAAAATACAAGTTTTTTGAATAATAATATAAAAAATAGGACGTACAATATTAATCAGATTAAAATGTCGGAAAATAAGTATAGAACAATAGAAACCGATTTAATATCATGCAATTATAAAAGTATTGACTGAAAGCTGTGTTTAATACGCAGTTTATTTCTGATAAATACTCAAAATGTATAAATACTGAGTGTACAATATTTACTCATCATGGCGTGCCCCTCTCTAGCTGCAACAGTTCAGGGAGTAGACCGGAGGAGCCACGTTACAAAACTGTCTGATAAGTACAATTTGTTTTATTTAACTGTGAAAATGTGCGTGTGTGGTATTTTACAAGACACGGCTGTTAGAATAGCATTTCCAATTGGCACATTTATAACCTCGACTTTGCTTAATTTTATGATAAAACGCACCTAAGTATACCAATAGTGAGAAAACTCCAAATATCTTCATTTAGCTTTAACCCAATATTATAACTATTGACGCACGCATTCATGGCATATTTGGACTTTAGTACGCCACTACTGGCGCAGTGGTGCTGCAGGCGCGGGTATCACACACAATACTTTGTTTTGTTTTTTTCCGTTTGCGTAAGTTTGTAAGTAATGCGAGAGGTCTGCGCGCACGCATTACATCACGTGCGCTAGGAACTAATTACAATAGCAGCGAGCATGGCGTAGTGTCAGACACTCAGCCATATGTAGTGGACCCGCCGGACAGCCACAGGCTGCGCTACACGTTGGTGTCGCGCGACAGACTGCGATGTCAGCCCACGCAACGCTTGCGACACACTCACTGCGACGTCGCTCGGCATAATGCCACGAAGATTATCGGTAATGGCGCACATTACGGGTAATGCGCGAGTTAGGCGCACGCGCACGGTACATAAGGCGCGCCGCCGCCGCCGGCCGCCACTCGCCGCGCCGCCACCCGCCCGCCACTAGGTATGTCTCACATTACACATCTCGTAGCCGCCTCGTAGCCACGCGCCTACGCGCTACGCGCTACGAGACTACGCGTCTCCCGCGTACTGTGTGACACATGTGTCTACGTATCAACTTTACATATTATGTAAATCATATTGATTCGACAAAATGAAGATTGTGTAAAAGTGTCAGATTGTTGTCGGTTTATTTGTCAATAGTACTCATTATACATCGGTGATGTTTGGTAACAGATTATTTGCATAATAGGATTTTGTCACTGAAATAAAACATATCAACTCACACGTAACACACTCAAGAATGGAACTGTTACAAAGTTACCTACATATGTACGGGGACACGTGCTGAGCGCAGTGCCAGGCACTGAGACACGAACATCCTCAATTACCTAACAATTGATATAATTGCCGGCCGCTCTCTGTTTGCAAACAATGAACACGTGCGCATGCGCAGCCCTCTCACGGATCAATAAAATTGGTTTAAATATATTTCGACCTTGATCTGATATTATATTACACGAAATGTATTGAAACCCTCGACTGTGAAACTACACATAAATTAATGATTACAAAGTGACCGTGAGGTCATGACTAAACATTCTAATAAACCGTTCAATGCAATCACTAATATTATAAACTAGCTTCTGTCCGCGACTCCACCCGCGTGCAATGCTTAGTGTGGACCTGGCTCTGGTTTGTGGCAAGTTTCCTCAAAAATTGGTTTGATGATACGCACGTGAGAGATGTAAACAATAATGGGACGTGTATACTCAGCAGGCATTGGTTCTGTCGCGACTGCCAACTGGACACACTGTGTAGTTGCATGTTGTGTCGGATATTGGCGGCGATTGCAGCAGCGCATGCGCAACCATTGATTCCCCACTTACCACTCAGCGCTCAGCAGATCATTATTTAATTACTTACGCTCTGTAGCTACCGCGGGGCGAGCCGGCCGAGCTGTGTCATCAACCACCAACACGTGGGACGCTGCAGTCTGCCGGGACTTGAACGGCTTTAACTCAATTTAGTATTTGGTTAATAGCTGACTCTGAATACGATAAAAACATAACGTACTATGTTGAATGGCAACTAATTTACATAATTTAAAGTGTTGATATTGAGCAAGTTCGACCACGCTTACGAAATTTAATATCATTCATTTGAAATTCAAATGTTGCCTTACGTAGAGACGTGACCTAATAAATAAATACAACGACACTTCACTCACCGAGCCGCACATACACAGGTGTGTATGTGTGAGTATCATGCTACATGTACAAACACATCTACACGTCCAGGTATAAGGACGAGACACACCATCGGCTAGAGTCGACAACGATTGCCAGTAATTTAGGAGAATGGACAGACACGTGTAATTACAATGATACGTTCAAACTGCTCACGTACTTACGACATAATTGCATACTTAAGATTAGCTAAATTGCTCGTTACATGCAATGTACAGCATTACGGCAGATAGCCGCCATTAGCAGTGGCGACACTGGTTGGCCCCGGCAGTGTGTGCGCGCCCGCCGCTGCTCCCGCCGGTCTCACCTTAACCTCGAGTATTGAATCAGTCGCTCGACTTCTGCTGACCGTCGGCCGCTGACTGGCACTGTGTTGCAATGTTCGTTGTCGACGGTGTGATGTTCGCCGACGATAAGGCCGCGCCCTCGCCGCGTCCTCACTCAACATGTATAATATATCCTCTTTCTACTATTATGATAACCAAAATGCAATAATTACAAAATAGGCCGTATGATAATATTATGTTAAATTGCTGAGAATCTCGTGTAGCGACCGCCGGCACGCACACAGATGCACGCACGAGTGCACGCACTGTACTCGCTGCACACTCGCTAGATGTTGTAGTATTGTACCTACGACGGTGCACGTCCATCTAAGGAGAGGTATATCGCCCTACTATACGACGGTACATACATTATATAGCACGCACATATTATTTAGTGGTAAGCAAAGGTCGTAGTGCACGTTAGTGCAGTCCTCCGCGGTCTGCATACACGACACACACACACACACACACACACACGAGTGTGCGGGTGCCGACAAGTGCTCAAATCATTAGTTTGTTCAAATTCATCGTCAACTTTCACTCTACAATTAACGCAGAAGCAGTACATTTTGCTTTACGTATTGTAACGTAAACCAAAATGTACTCATGATAAGCTTTTTTTGGATGTTATGATGCTGCATTTGTAAGGCTTCAAGCACTTTGTAGAGGAGAGATGAGATCAACGAAAGCAACGTGCAATCTAACCAAACCAAATCTAACCGTGTTGCGTTACAGGTCCCAACAGAAAGTTAGCAACGTTGAGAACGAGCAGGCAGTGTGGTGTCAGTCGCAGTGAGCACGAGATACAAAGACAGCACGCAGCATGAGGAGCTCCCTGTACATAGTGGCGCTGTGTGCGCTGGTGGCGGTCCGCGCCGCGCCCGCGCCCGACGCGGCGCCCGAGCCCGCGCCGCAGCCCGCGGCGCAGCCCGCCGCCGCCGCCGCGGCTGACGACAGACCAGAGATCATCGAGATCATCGCCCCCGCCGCCAGTGCGCAGGTAACATGGCCGCAATTAAACTGTCAAACACCAAGCGGTCACCGGTGCTCGCAACCTATTGTTCTATAATTGTGTCTACAAAACCGGTACTCGACGAGTTAATACCTATCCATTTCTTTATTGGTCTTCATCCATCGTCCCTAGGCCCCTATTAATATTTCCCCCCACATTAAGATTCAGGACTTACTCGCTACCGCTCGTTACTACGTGAGTACGTAATTATGCTATGTACTGGAGGAACAAGTATATACCGATCTACTTTTCTGTAACCTGCATAATTTTCTGTAACTTGCATAATTTTCTGTAACTTGCATAGTTTTCATGCATCCTTTAACATAGGTACGTATAATCCACCGTGAAATCTAGATTTCGTTTTCGTCCTGCGGTAAAAGAACTTAGATACTAGCGGTAAATAATAAAACAATAATATTTTTAGTGTAAAAAAATTCAGGGAATTACGCACATGAAACACGAGAAGTAATTTGTAGGCAGTATTCGCATCGTTTGTGTGCTCTTTCAAAGGTTGCTTTTTGCAATGGTTCACTTAGCAGTTATTTTTTGTTTTAAACATTTTATTTCTTTGTAAAACCATTGTATTACCGAGACAGAACCATTTAACTTTGGGACGAAAACAAAATAAATTTCACGGTGTATATGTACATGTATGTATTTCTTATTGAATGTTACAAATCGAGTCAATAAATGAATACTTGAGTAAGTATTGAGATTTATTTATGTTTATGCGAGAGTCGAGTTCAACAACGGAATATAGTTACCTACTAACTTTATTTTCAAAATTTATATTAATAATAATAATAAGCCCGCAGGGCACCTTGAGGCGAGGTGACGGGCATTAGCGATCCCGCGGGCTACCATCATCCCAAGTGCTTCAGGGAGAAGTCACCGTTCCTTCTTCTCCGGCTTGCCTTAATTGGCTGGCTGGAGTGAACGATGACAAGGAACAGGTCTCCCACCTCTGGCTTGCCTTCATTGGCCGTCCAGAGTGGAGTCGCGAGAGCAGTGATCCTGCTCGGAGGGTAAGAAACTATTCGTAAGTCGCGAGTGGGCCAGGGATGCAGGAGGCTTCGGCTGGAGCAGATGATCTGAGTAGAAAGCGGTGGTAGTTTCTTAACCCTTCAGCCACTCACATTCTCGTTGCCCCTCTGTTGCTATATCTAGCAACCATTCCCGGGGCCCGGTCGGTGAGTTGGCGAGTCTCCGCCTGCCATTTTTACATGTAAAAATTACATTGTTTCGGCAGGTGCCATAGTCATCCATAGTTCCCAATTTACCAGTCCACAGCAACCCATCCATAGCCCTACCTTTTTTTTCCATTATTCACAATAGTCCTACACTAACCGTGGACTGTCCTTGGGTGCATTTCCATAGTGCATACAGGGATAGTCGCCGGTTTGTGTATCCATTACATTTAGATTAAAGTTGTCTAAAGGGCCTCTGCGCAGTTGGCTTCGGCCCCTCGTACGCCTCCCAAATGACCGGGACCCTGTGGTCCCGTGAATGGTAAAGACACACATAATAATAATAACAACTTGCATCTAATGAGGTTACTGAATGTCACTGAAACGTTCAGTAATGCCATTAGGATGGAATTTGGTGTGGACAAATGTGCAGTTCTGCATGTAAAGAGGGGGGAAATTGTGGAATCAGATGGGACACAGAACTCTGATTCTAAAAGCTTCAGACCCCTTTCCTCAACCGAAACCTATAAGTACCTGGGTATGTCAGAAGCGTTAGGCATCGATGTGACTGTCAAGAAGCAATCGTTACGGGAACGTTTCTTTGACCGCCTGAAAAAAGTACTTAATAGTCTTATATCAGGCGGCAACAAGGTGCGCGCCTACAACGGTTGGGTCATGCCAGTACTCATGTACTCTTTTGGCATACTCAAGTGGACTCAAACGGAACTGGACACCCTGGATAGAAAAGTTCGTTCATTGCTGACTGAACATCGAATGCATCACCCACGATCGTCGATAATGAGACTGTACATTCCGCGTAAATGTGGGGGGCGAGGCTTTTTAAATACAAAAACCCTCCACAATAGTGAAGTGTGCAGTCTCCGAAAGTATTTTTTGAAAATGGACGTGGGGATGCATAGAGATGTTGTCGCTGTGGACAAAGGGCTTACTCCGCTCTCCTTGGCTAACGAGAACTGGAGAGAACCTATAATACTAAGCACTAATGATCGCAGGAATGTATGGCAAAGTAAGGAGTTGCACGGACGCTACTATTGAGCCTTACATGGGCCAAATACGGATTTCTTAGCGTCCGTATCCTGGCTACGTTTCAGTAACTTATTTGGAGAAACGGAAGGTTTTGTCTGTGCAATTATGGACGAAGTTATGATGACGAACAATTATCGAAATTATATTATAAAGGATGGAACTGTTGACATTTGTCGGGCATGTCATCATCCCGGGGAATCCATCCGGCATATAATTTCGGGTTGTTCTCATTTAGCTAATGGAGAATACTTGCATAGACATAATCTTGTAGCCAGGATTATTCATCAACAACTTGCTTTGAAATATAAACTTGTAGAATCTGAAGTGCCGTATTATAAGTATCTGCCTGACCTAGTTCTTGAAAATGGAGATGTCACACTGTATTGGGATCGAACTATCATCACAGACAGAACAATTGTTGCAAACAAACCTGACATTGTGGTGATAGATCGACCAAGCCGTCGCACAATGATAGTTGATATAACAATCCCACATGACGAGAATCTCGTGAAAGCTGAAAAAGATAAAGCAAGTAAATATCTTGATTTAGCTCATAAGATTGTCGACATGTGGGATGTGGATTCAGCAGTCATTGTGCCGATAGTCGTATCTGCCAATGGCCTAATTGCTAAAAGCCTCGACCAACATCTGAGTAGGCTAGCGTTAGATGGTTGGGTCAAGGGCCAGATGCAGAAAGCAGTACTTCTGGACACGGCGCGTATTGTCCGTAAATTCCTTTCTCTGGAGCCCTGACCACCGGTAGCTTAGATTTCTCCCGTTACTGGTGGGCTACTGCTTTTTATATTTTTAAATGTTTTTTTTTTTTACATATAATGAAATATTTAAAAATATATAAATCAAGTATGAAAATAAATAAAGGGAATAATAATAATATTAAAATCGTACATACACGTAGGCAGCACCTGGAGAGGCCGCAGGTACTTACGTGAACCATTGAATATAACTTGTCTTCTTAAATAAGTAATAGTCGAGTGAGACCAGTGGCGGCACGGGTCAGCGCCTCGCGTGACCCTAATCATCAATAAATAATTACATAATTGCCTCGCTTTACAACGCGTGCCTCGCGTATCTATTAGGAGGCCGTGGCACAGCGCCCGAAGCACGCGACTAGTGCACCGCTTGCTACTTGCAGCCTCGACTCAGCCTCCTGTACCTTACCCTTACAGGAAACGCTGGCGACGCTGAACCTCGGCGCGCCCGGCTCCGAGCTCAGCGAGAGAAACAAGAGGACCATCGGTATCCTGCGCCAGCTGTTCCCCTCTCTTACGCAGGTATGTCTCGAGGACTGAGGGCGCCACCGTGTCCCGCCCACTAACTAGTACTTGCATCCCTAACAGTGACAGCAGCTTGTCTACCCGCCCGGATGGGAGTTCGCAGGCCAGGAGGAGCCGCGAGCCTGCCTTGTCTCGTAGTCGTGGCCCGCGGACTGTTGTGTTTGTAGTCGCTGCGGCGACGCTAAGGGCCGTGTATGTTCTAGATAATCGAACAGAAAGTACAGCAACTAACGAGTATGGTGCTGCAAACATTCGGGCCCGTGGTACTGCGCCTGTTCCTCGGCAACCGGAACGGCGGCGGCAACACCGGCGGCGGCACCGTCGAACTAGACGATGACGACGACGACGACGACGATGACGATGACGACGAGCCCGCCAGCAGCACCAGCACCGCCAGCCCGAGCAGCACGAGCGCGCCCCTCACCAGCGCGCCCAGCACGCGCCGACGACGCGCGCTGTTCTTCCTGCCGGTATGAGGTCCGCATGCGCACTCTCAGCCTGCCCGCGGACGGCAGAGCGGGCGCGCGCAGACCGCGCGCCTCCATCGTCATCGTCATCGCATCGCCATCGTCACCTCACGCATGGACACGTCACGGCCACACTAACGATCACCCGCCCCGCTGCCACCGCCCTCTCTGATCACCTTGCTCTTACAGAATGCGCTCGCTGAGGAGAACCAGCTCCTGTCCGGCGCCGAGTCGCAGCAAGCCGAGGTGCGCGTCGCATTCGGCGACGGTCAGGCAGACCAGCAAGTCGCCGCCAGCGACGACCAGCAGACCGCTGCGCAGACCAACGCGGCCAGCATCGACGAGATCACACTCGACGACGCTGACAACAGCGAAGAAAACAGAAATAAGAGGTAAGCCGCGGCCATGCAAACATGCAGGGTGTCCCTCGCCCGGTAGTAGCAGAACGTGCTGACACGCCAACTGTTCCAGGTTCCTGAGCTTCGGTGGTAGCGCGAGCGCCGGTGGTTCCGGGGGCGGCTCGGGCAACTTCCTCTTCGACATCGTCAGGGTAAGTCACACATGTCTTAAATAGTAATGAACCTCATACCTGTCTCACAACCATGATCTACAAACACTGCAACATATTTTGACAGTTTCTAATTTTTATTGAACATTTATTTGACGAACACATGAAACTTGTGGTAAGCGCGTGCTAGTGATGGATTCGGCGGTGTGACCACCGGGCGACCACTAGGCGACCACTAGGCGACCACTAGGTGACCACCGGGCCACCACTGGGAGACCACTGAGCGCTAGTCGCGTAACAGTTGCGAGTGAGCAGATTTGTATTTGCAGCGCGCTCCCGAGGCGATGGCCCGAGCGGCCGGCACGGCGTTCCGTCTGTTCGCGGGCACGGACTCGCTAAACGTGGGCCTGACCGCCTCACACACGGCCACCCTGGACCCTAACGACCCTCAAGTATACACACACATTGTGCAAGTAGTTAGCGCACAGTGACCAGGCTGAGACTCGTAGACTAGTGCTAGACTATTGGAAGTCACCACGAGACACGACGCATACTTCTCGCCTCCTGCACTTTAGGTAGCACTAACATACCCGTATCCACCGATACCTAACCGCAGTACAAACTAGACTAACACGTAGCACTAGTATCGTAATTAGCGAGTACACACATATAAACATATACTACATATTTGTTCGCTTGCAAGCGGTGCGGCGTCGCATCGTACAGAGTACCTACTGGAATAGCACCGTCATATACAAAATCTACAATAATAAATATATTTCATGTTTTTCTAATCAATGCTCACTGATGCCGCAAATCATCATGCTGCAAACACTTAATAGATGGGTGCGTAGCTACCCGGTTGTGAGGCTATACATACATACAGGGTGTCCCTGAAGTCGACGATCAAATGGTACCAGGTGATTGGCAAGGTCCCAACAGATATCAACAAAATATTTAAAACTTCTAAGTCGAATAGTTTTTAATTTACAACGACTTTTGTGTTCTACGATATAGTACAGTACCCTATACTAATGGTTAATGTCCCTCTGGTAGATTATTCATAGATAGGTCCATTTATATCCGTCTGGTAGATATTACCTAACGGACAGACCAATTATATTTTTCATTTTCATACCCTGTCATGTCATAAGCCTGTCATCATCGTCATCATCCCTATTATCGATACCCGATAGCTACGATGATGGCGTCAATATTTTAGCAAGTCGTCGCTGAAGGCAATGTAATCGATCTAATACTATTTGCATGCAAGCTGATGGTAGAAATATTGTTATAACATCAGTATTTATATTATAAACATATAAAATAAAAATGTAAAATGTACCTATTCAGTGGATTTATCGCCTAATTCTAGAAAGAACATTCTTGTACACAGCTTCATCATCACACAACAGAACTAGCTACCCATTTTTGTTTCCTATACATCACAACCAGACCTGAAGTAATGATTTGTAAATCACATATAAATTGACAAAATGGAGGCGGCATACTGATGTCACGTTGTGTTGCAGCTAGTGGCTGGCTCGTCCTCGGGCTCCTCTAGCGGCGACGCTGGCGCATCTGCTGACGGAGACGACGCTGGCGCCGCCAAGGGCGACAACCTGACGGAAGGAGTGCCCGGCCCCATCACGAGGCTGTTCATCATTGCCAACCGCGGTATCGCAAACCTCATTCAGGACCTGATCCTCCGGATCGCCCAGACCTCCGAGAGAATAGTCAACTTCAAGGCGCGACTGATCACCTCCATCATTTAATGCGCGCGCATGTAGATCAATATTTTAGTGTAGGTAGTAGTGTAGAGGCCAGCGGCAGAGGTCGCTGTGCCACAGAGTGCGCCGCGCGCGCGTGACGTCACGCTCGGCCCGGCGCGTGACGTCACGGCGCGAGAGTGCGGCGCACGCGGGGCGGCGGCGTGGCGCGGCCCGCGGACCGCCCGGCGCCGCCGCCGTTCCTGCTCAAGCTTTTTTATACCGCAATATTCTTGATTCGTTTTTACGTTTGTAAATATGTATTATAGCGGAATTTGTATAAAATAAATAAATAGTTAAATTATTGTCATCTTTTACTTTTGTTATATTTTATAGCAATCCTTTGCGCCCCCGTCCCTCATCTCAAATCCCCAATCCCTAATATGCTATATGCCCCAAGTGTAAATCCCCAAAATTAAATACTATCAGTGTCATCTGTCGTTGGCCGCTTTAATTTAATCCATTAAAAACATGCCAAATAGGTATATATTTATCACGGGTATTTGAAAAATATTAGTAACTAGCTGACCCGACGAACTTTGTTCCGCCTTAATGGCAATAAATAAGCAGATAGTTTTTTTTTATTGGAAAAAATACAAAAAAAAATTAAATACCTACATTAATTGTTAATACGACTTTTTTTGTTTTATTATCAGGCGCAAAAACAAACAACGCCGATAGTCTTCCAACCCGTGAACATGCCACGTATAATTGACCATAGGAAAAACATGAATGTTCTAGTTAAGTTTAGTTCTAGATTTAAACCACAAACTTTAAGGATTGGCCTTGTGATTTGTTGATGGTCATGGCAAATGCAAGACGTATCGGAAATTGAAGTCTTTTAAATTCCAACGGCATATCGGTTGGGATCATCGGGATCCTCGGAATGAGAACTTCCTCACCTTTGAATGTTCCTATCATTATCGTAGCGTAAATCACATTGTTCATCAATTTTGTAACCACCAAACGCGTACCGTTGCACAGTTTTGGTTGGTTTATGTTTCGAAGCATGATTATTGCGGAGCCAACCGTTACGCGTAAATTGTGCGGAGGTAAGCCAGGCACGTCCAAAGAGTTTAAAAATTCAATTGAATAGTTGGTGGCTTCATCTTCATTTGTGACGCAGTCAATAGATTTGAATGAATGCATTGTTCCAATGATCTTATTTTGAATTAGGTATGTAGCTCAGGAAAATATGTCAGGTAACATAGAAAGGTATATTTAATATTATAAATTTGTTTACGTCTGTTTGTTTTGTTAGAAACTGACTTGATTGTTTACTGAGTGGAGATAGTAGAAAGGATTGAAAGTAGCACAGGCGACATTTTGTTTCTTTCTAACCCGCCACTTCCCTAAAACAGGGGCTGGAAGTTTGTATGGAGCATTTCGTAATTTTCAAGAATTCTGAAATTATTCTATCATATTTGTGACCAGGAAAATATCGGGTACCAATTCTTTTTTATTATTTGTAAACCTGCCCTCAATACTTTAAAAGAACGCGAGCAGAAGAGGCAGAAAAACTTGGTATAAAATGTATTTGGTTAATCGAATTCATATTTTTTCTTAAAAAATCTCTGATTCTGATGCACCTAAATACTACTATTAGTCCTTGAAAACAGTTTTCTATTGGCAGTCCAAGGCTTACGCAATATAAGGAGTTTTTTGGTAGTATTTTCACATATCGGGTTACATTAGCTAAATTTTCAAACGCTGTCGAACGGAATAAAAAGTATCTTATGTCCGTCTCCTGGCTCTAAGCTACCTCCCTACCAATTTTCAGCCAAATCTAGTATCTCTAATCTATTCGATTCTTGAGTTATAAGTGACTATACTACAACTAATACGACTTTCTCTGTCAAGAAAGTACCGGGAAAAGATCAATAAAACACAAAATGTCTGTTATTCATCCAAATGTATTTTATCACCTTCAAAGTATGCTCCTTTAGAAACGATTTACTTACGCCAACGAATAATCCATTCACAAAAACATTTTTAAACGCTGCTTCCAGAATTGAGTTCAGTTCTCGCCGCGAATTCTCCTTTATGCCTTCTATCGATTAAAAACGGGTGCCACGAAGTGGTAATTTGAGAAGAAAAAGATAAAAGTCAGCAGGAGCCATATCTGGTGAATACGGTGGTTGCTGGATGGTATTTGTTAAGTTTTTGGTCAAAAATTCATTCACAATGATAGCCTTGTGCGAAGGCGCATTGTCGTGGTGCAAAATCCAAGAATTATCTTTCCACAAATCTGGCCTCTTTCGGTGAATTTGCGCTCTTAAACGCCGCATAAAGGCGCGGGCCCACCGCGGCGCATGTTGTGCACGGGCACGCGGCGCATTTTAGCTGCGTGTAATAATTTGTTTAACAACGTGGGTCTACGTTTCCACTGGAATACACGAATGTGAAACCGCCTATTCGAGCAAGCCACGCATGTATCAATGACGTCAATTCATACGTAGCCTCTCCGTGGGTTGCAGTGGACACAACCACTTACATTGTCTTCCAAAGCGAAGCTTAATACACGTGCGTAGGCTCTCCGTGCACCGCGGTGGGCCCGCGCCTTTACGCTCAAATAATATTCTTTATTTACCGTTAGACCTTCCGGTAAGAAGTCAGAGTGCACAACACCGCGATAGTCAAAGAAAACAGTCAACATGACTTTGACTTTTGATCGACTTTGGCGTGGATTTCGGTTTCGGTTCAGTTGGAAGGCGCCACTCCGAAGTTTGTTGACTAGTTTGCATGTCAAACTCGTAAACTTACGTCTCGTCACCAGTAACCAGCGTTTCATAAATGTTGGGTCCGAACTGACTCGTTCTAGCATATCCTCAACGACTTTCATGCGATTGAGTTTTTGGAGAAAATTCTGATCTTTTGAGACTAGCCGAGCAGCAACATGTTTCATACCCAAATGATTAGTTAAAATGGTACAGATCGACTCGTGAGATACAGAAAGTTTGGAGGCTATCTCTCTCAGAGTTGAATGGGGATTTTCACTCACTTTTGCGATGTTTACTTCAGTTGCAGTCGTTGACGGCCTACCAGAGCGAGGCAAATCTTCCATCACATCTACACCGCTTTTGTACGCTTTGAACCACTTATAAGCACGAGTCTTTGATAAAGTCGATTCAAGCCTTCTATAACATTTTCAGCGACTCCGAACACGAAATTCCATTGGCGATGCAAAATTTAAGACAAACTCTTTGTTCACTATATTTGTTTAATAAGAAATTCGCAATACACACTATATATGATATTACTAAAACCAGCACTGTATTTAATATAAATAAACAGATGCAACTCAAACCCCGCGCCAAAATGGAAAACAGTTGTACCAATCTAACAACTACAAAAAACAAAAATTTGAATTTGTAACCATAAACTTTATTACTATTATTACTAACAAATTATGGAAGCAATTATTCTGCAATAAATTTAATTATTATTATAAACAAATTCTCCATTCCCGATGCTTTTTTGACTGAATGTACGTCACGCCCCTATCCGATAGTATCTGAAACCTTTATTTCGGATTCGGTTACGGTTACGGATATTTTTCATAATCTGATATCCGGTAGTTTCGTTTACCATTACGGAGCTTCCTAACATCCCTGCTGTGCAGATGTAAAACTGCAAAACTTCGTCGCCTTGCAACCACGGTTGCACGAAGCAAAATTGACAACTTTTTCTTTGCAACTGTGATTGTAATAAGCGATCGACCGGATAATGCAAATGTTTAATGTCTGTCAATGTGCAATTAAGTCAAAAAGGTATATAACAGAATGATATATTTGATTTACAAACATTAAACTGTCAAACACCAAGCGGTCACCGGTGACCGCAACCTATTGTTCTATAATTGTGTCTATAATGACGGTACTCGACGAGTAAGTTAAAGATATTAAATTCAAGATTAATATTAAATAAAATGAATATATACTACTTAAAATATAAATAACTAAAAACTGAAATATACATAACCTTCGTCCAACCTAGGTACTTTGTTGCAGCCATATTTCGCGCTGCAATTTGTTTAAGGCTTGGAGCTTCATTTTGTTCACCTCATCGTTGTCGTTTGTGGTGAAGATGTCAACAGCCTTGAACACCACGGCTTGTCGTGTAGCTGTAGTGCGGGCCGTTTTGCTCGACACGCAAGTATTAACTCGTCGAGTACCGGTTTTGTAGACACAATTATAGAACAATAGGTTGCGGTCACCGGTGACCGCTTGGT